TGTTCCACAAGTAATTATTGAAAGCTCAGATGAAGAGACAGAGTCAAGTCAAGTGGTGGCTGATTCAAATTTACAGTGCATGGTTTTAAAGCAGATAGACAGTGGAGACTTGGGTGCAGATGATAGTTTATTAATGAGTAGTTCAGATGATGAGATGGGAGACGTCATTGCTCAAAGAAACAAAGCTCTTAGGTCTGCAGCCCAACCTTACGAAAAGCAAAATGTGAAGATATTGTCAGAGAAAGAAAATGGAAGAAAAGAGCCATCTCATACATTTGATTCAATTGAGAAAGTTAGTAGAGAAAGCTTGGGCACTGAATATTTTGAGATTACTAATTCCAATCCTTCAAATAAGGAAGTTATTGGGTTTTCAGATGAGTCAAGAACAGATGCTTCTCAATCCTTGGTACCAGAATTTATTAATACTGACTTTGCCAAGCAAGAAGGCAATGGAGGTTTTGTGAAGCCAGAAGAGGAGGAGAGTGAATCAGAAGGTCAAAATTTAACCTGTTTTTAAGATCAAAGTTCTAATGATTTTAGTATTTGAACTGTTGTAAATATGTGTGCTTATTTATAGAAAGCTTTGTTGAAGTATCAGGGGAAGAAAGTTCAGTTGAGGAGACTGAAATGACAGATGAAAAGACCAAAGAAGAAGAAGAAGAAGAAGAAGAAGAAACTATAGATGACAGTTTACTAGAGACGACCAGTGAAGCAGCAGAAGTCTCCAAATCTGAGGATGTTCAAGTGGAAACTCAAAAAGAGGAACAAATGGAGATAGAAGAGAAAACAGAGACACAGCCTTCTGCATCAAAAGAATGGGACCAACTAGATATGGTTAGTCTAAATGTCTATTATCCTACTAATTGATTACTGATTTGATTTTGTAGTTTTTATGGCTTTTGTTCAGCAAAATGTTTTACTGTACATGCATACAGTGCACATGCAGAATATAGTATGATCATCCCAGTAATAGACAAGTCAGGTGACCATAATGTTGATCAAAGTATCACAAGATTGTACAATATTATGTTGTATTAAAATGTGAGGGATGGTAACACTGGTGTGTGTTTTATTTTGTGATAGGAGGAGCTGGAGGAGCTGGAGAGTTCTCTTCAGGTGCAGCAGAACCAGCTGAGGGAGCAGAAGCAGCAGCAAGAGCGGATGGCCAATACAGTCACAGGACAGATGTGTTTAGAGAGCCAGGTAAGAAGAAAAGACGATCAATCAATTCAATTCTGTTTTGAAGGATCATTGAGCTCTCTTAGCCACTTACATATTTAATCATATATTTTAAAAGGTACACTTGACAGTACATAAATAATACTAACTTTATAATAACTAACTATAACTAAATAATTATGGGTCTTATGCATAGACTGTATAAAGAAGTGGACTAAGGGAGTGTGACGTTATCCAGTTATAGCTACAATTATAGTGTTGAAGCTTACGAGGAGTGAATTTGGAGCCGAGTTCCATATTATACAAACAAAATAACACAATAAAAACACCAGGATCATCTAGAGCAGGTTAATACGAACATTTTTAGATCAAAATGATGAGGCTCACTGCAACAATTACTGAGAGACAGGTGACAATTTTCCAGTGTCAGGTAGATGGAGCCAGAAGCACCACGGTAAACACTTCCTTTTTGGAACACAGCAGCCAGCGGGTTTGCTATGTCCATTTATTTATACAGCCTATGGTCTTGTGTCGTCTTGCACTTGAATAAAAACATCATAAAATTGTACACATAAACAAACGTGCATGTGCATGTGCTGTGGTGATGACTGAGAGCAGCTGAAGAGTCACACTTTCAGGGATGAGTTTCTTTTCTGTGTCTCTGCCAAATATTCCCTGAGCGCTGTAGTGATGCCAGGATTATTTTACAATCTTTGCTCTGCTCTGTGTAAACGTGTCCCCAAACCTGCTACTCTGTGTCTCAAAACACTACCTCAACAGTTAAAATCTTAAGGGAGGTATCATTTATAGCACTGACCAGTTACTCGATATGTTCTGCTAATTAGCTGCAAAGAGCAAAGGTATTAATGGCGGATTTGCAAGGATCTACATAATACTGCTATACATGGACAACGCAAATGGAGATACTTAACGGTCATATCAAAATACAGTTGCATTGCGTTACCAATTATCAGCTTAGGCTTTATACGTAAAAGTAGCAGAGCCTAAAATCTGTCATAGTGGTCACAAAGGCAAATATTGTACATTTGAAGATGTTCTAACTTTTCTAGAAGAGGATACGGCTCTTGCTTATTGCATTGTTCCACAGTAGGGCTGAAAAATATATGGTGAAAATAACGATATTGCAATGCTGGCTGACACAACAATGAAAACTGCAAGAAAATAAATATATGACAAAGACACAAAATGTTCATGTTCGATGTTCAAATGTTTTTGTAAAGTATTTATTATGTCTTGGTCTTGATTTTGTCTTTGTTAAGTTTTCATTTTAACCTAGTTTGACCAGTAAATTGAGGCAGCTTTTGTGTTAAATTCATTGATGTGCTTGTCCCAAAAAGTACATTAAAATACTGCAATAATATTGTTATTGCAATACAAATAGTAAATAAATAATAAATAAATAAAACAAATAGTAACAAAATAGTTTTAGTTTTTTTTCTCATATTATGCAGCCCTATTCCGCAGTATAGCCACCTGGCCACGTTGCTGGTCAGCAAAAACATGTTCAAACGATAAAATGAAGATGGATGTGTTTAATGCCATACTGTGAAACATTCCATCCAAAACAATAACATCTGAATAAAAGCAGGTGGCGGACCATTCGCCAGAAAAGTTGCCAGGTGCAGCTTGTGGATTTTAGTTCCGCTCTACATGATTACATAATTTGAAAGAGAAACACAAAATATTTGGTCAACTTAAATTTGCATTATTAGAATGGAGTAAAAGATTCATAATGGTTACAATACTGTTGAGAGAATAAATTTACATGAAATGCCTGTCTCAACCTAGGAACTCTGTATTTATTTTACACAGTACTTCAGCAGTTGTCCACAGAAGCTCATAGTATGTAACTGTTGGTTGATTTTATGTACACATTTATCTATAAATTTTAACATGATGTATTTTACTGTATTCTACTGTAGTTACTTGTATTTTGTAATGTTATACGCTGACATTTGAGTGTCTTGAAATGTGCCTCAAAAAAACTATTAATATTATTTTGTTGTATGCGATGTGGTTTTATAGGAACTTCTTCGTCTGTTCGGGGTCCCGTACCTGATTGCCCCCATGGAGGCAGAGGCTCAGTGTGCTGCTCTGGATCGCTTGGACCACACCCACGGGACCATCACAGATGACTCCGACGTGTGGCTGTTCGGAGGAAGACATGTTTACAAAAACTTCTTCAGCCAAAACAAATATGTGGAACACTATCAGTACAGTGACCTACAGAACCAGCTCGGTGAGTATGTGGTCTAAATGTCTAAATGAAATCTCATAAGAATAACTATATGATGCTTTGTTAATGCCCTAATTATTATGTAAATTGTTCCTTGTTCTTTTAGGTTTGGACAGAACTAAACTCATAAACTTAGCCTATCTTCTGGGAAGTGACTACACAGAGGGGGTCCCCGGAGTGGGATATGTAACCGGGATGGAGATCCTCAATGAGTTTCCTGGAACAGGCCTAGAGCCACTCACACAGTTATAGTAATTTTTTTTTTTCTCTACACAAAAAAGAGAGGGGGGTCATTAAGACAGGGTCTGATTCTGATTCTTAAAGGGACTACAGACTTTGGGAATAACTGGGTTAGAAGATAAAACTATGATAAACTATCCTTGTTGCTCCATAAATTTTAAAGTCCTTCTCATAAATCACAGAGTATTGAAATGTGGATATATTCCCCTTCAGTCAATTGACCGCACTGGCTTTTGGGGAAAAACATTGATGAAATTTCTTGCTTTATTAAAATATACTAAGGAACCCCAAATATTTAAGGATTTAGAAGTAATCATGTCCTAACAGTACCAGTGCATATACTATTGTAACTGTAACATTATTGATTACTCCAATAGTGAATGGTGGAAAGAAGCTCAGGAGAAAAAGCGTTTGTCAGAGAATCCCAAAGACACAAAAGTGAAGAAGAAGATCCGAGAGCTGAAGCTGACGCCTGGATTCCCAAACCCTTCAGTGGCTCAAGCATATTTACATCCGGCTGTCGACCAATCAGAGAGCTCCTTCAGCTGGGGCCGCCCACAGCTTGACATGATCAAAGAATATCCTTACCGAAGATTTAGTTGAAGTTTGAGTGATTGTGTTGAAGTGTGTATTTCCTTGACTGTTTTTTACATTTTGTCTGAGTCATTTTGGTTGGAACAGCCGCAGAACTGAGGAAACTCTTCTGCCTGTGATGAAGCAGCTTGACACGCAGCAGGTAAATTAAATACATATGTTTCAGAATGATGAAAATTTAGGACCATTGTCATAGCAATTAACAAATCAAAACTAAATATCTTTTGAACAGTTAACCATCGGGTCCAGCCCAGCAGCACCCATTGACAAAAATTTATGAGAGAAATGTGCATTACGTGTTTTGCTTATTGTAATGTTATAAACGTATAATACTACTTCAAAAAGTGAGAATTTAACTCCAAAAATGTGTGATTGTAAGAAATCTGTAGGAACACTGGAGTCAGCATTTAGATATAACTTTAACCTTTTATGCCATATAAATGCCCTTCAATATTTTCTGTAATTTTTTTTCGTTATTTTTACAGACACAGCTGAGGATCGACTCATTTTTCCGCATGGAGCTCCACGAGAAGCAAGCGATTCGCAGCCAGAGACTCCGACGCGCCGTTACCTGTATGAAACGAAAGGAGAGAGAGGGAGGAGGAGAGGAGGGAGAGGAGGAGGATGAAGAAGAGGCCATTTCTCCTACTAAATCTAAGAAAAGCAGCTCATCCAGCCCTTCTCAGATACCAGGAAAAGCTCAAAGGACCATAGCATCGGGAGGAGGGTTTCTTTCCTCACAGATGATACTTGAACCAACTTTTTCCCCTTCAGAAGACAAAACGAAAGACACTGACTGCACAATTAAGGCTAGCAATGAGAAAACCAACATCACACCACAGAAAAACATTACAATAAGGAGCAGTAGTAGTAGTAGTAGTAGCTCAGAGGATAGTGATGGAGATGGGAAAGTTGCAATGGTTGTGGCTAAATCTGTGTTTGAAGGGAGTCGAAGAGGACGTGGGGCCAAAAGTGCAAGAGGGAGGGGCAGAGGGGCAACCAGAGGCAATGCAAAGGGTAAAAAGAAATGAGAAAAAAACAAACAAAAGAGAAACGCTCCAAAACCTCTAGATAGCTCACTCCATGCCTTCTCCATTCTCCAGTAGTCCAAATTCATCTTCATAATCCCTACAAATTTGGGTTAACTGGAACAACACTGACAGATTAAATTTACTTACAACCCAAAGCCTTACATTAATAGATGAAATAAAAAATAATGACTTGAATAGTTTTTAAAATGCTTGGGAAAATTGAAAATGACTATATGTATGTATTTGGTATGAATTGATAAGTTTGGTACATTGTAAGAAAATAATGTCTTTAAAAGAAGTGTAAGAATATTTGTGAATTTTGTATTAAATCCTTTCACAGTGAAAGACATAAGCTCATACTTGTTCTTGGTCAAGTAGTTAGGAGTAGTGGCAGGTGTAGGTATTTAGGGCTGCATGCTTTTCATATCTTTAGGGCAGCAGTTCAGTTGCCAGAGAAAATACTGGGTAATACTGAGTAACATTTTATTAGAAAATCCTGGAACTAGCAATAATGACGTTATGATCGTAAGAATGGTGAAAGTGCAACTTGTGTATTGTTTTGTATTCCTAAGTTTCCTCTTTGCAAACATACCTGGAGTTGTGTTGTGTTTCATTCACACATGTTTAACACACAAACCGTGCATATTTTGTTTTTCTCTCAGACTGAAAACGCTCTGTTCCACTTTGTGATGTCGTGGTAATACACGAAGGGCTCCACTGTGTTTTTAAACTCCATACACCTTCACCAGAATCATTTGGATGAGTTCAGCTCTGTGATTGCCACTCTCTATTGAACTGAAGTTAAAAGGTAGGTTTTAACATGAAAACTACCTCTTCAAGACATCACAAGGTGGAACAGAGCATTTAGAGCTTTGTAAATGTAGATACACTCAGGATAAAGGATTACTCAAACGTGTGAATGAAACAAAACACAACTCCGGGTATGTTTTTGATAAAGTAACATTATAACATCACTCAAAGCTCACAAGGGTACATTTTTCATAATATAAGACCTTTAAGTTATTTAAGGTCTAATCACTAATATAAATGATCAGGCACAGTTTACCTTTTGGATATTTCTTAGCAAAGTACAATGTGATAAAATCTAAAGACAAAAAATATATATATTTATTTATATGGTAGCATAGATGTAAGTGACAAAACATAAATGCGCACATACAAGTATTTTATTAGTCTATTTCTCTTAAAACTTCAAGATAAATACATTTTTACAAGTCATTAAGCTGAGTTTCCTCCTGTGCTTCCTTCTTTAGCTCCTGTTGGTGTGTGTTGAGACAGCTGCCTCTGTCACTCACTGCTACAGCTCAGTGTCAGTCTAGACTCAAAGAGGAGCAGGGTCGAGGTGGAGCTGCTGGGCCATGAAGTTTGTGTATGTGTGTCATTTAAATCCTTAAAAGGACATATCCACTAAAGACCGAGATCCAGACCAACCCAGATCCTGAGGAAAATTCATCTAGGATTAAAAACCAGGCTGAACTGTTTGTGCACTCCCGGATGGAGACGGATTTAACTCCAGGCATGGAAACACGACAGGCAAAGGCAACCAATGAGAAAAGTAAGGCATTACATATAATAACAACATAGAAATAGATACAATTTCTTAACAAATAATGCTAAAAAATAACTGTAGGATATTTAGTATACTATATTAATCAAATACTTAACATACACATTAAAATAACCAATGCTACTTCTTCATTGTTTTAAAATATCATTCAATAAAATAAAACCTGCATATTACAAGAAACTAGGATGCATTCAATCTTCAGATAAAATGTTAACACTTACTTTTAATTATTATATAGGCTCTCATGAAGCATAAAACAGTGAGCATTTGATGTGCTGGTAACACTAACGCTTAAATTATCCCTTAATTTCAAATATGGCACTAAAAACGACATGTATGAGTAGCCTCTCTAAGAGCTATTTGCCAAGTGTATTTTGAAGTTGCAGTATTAAGGTTTGCATAGTAGCACCCCATGACCTTAGCCAACCCTCATTGTAAATCCATGGGCTCTCCTGACCTTCTCAATGTTACATAAGAGCATTGGCTTGTGTTTCAAATACATCATTGACCGATAAACTGAGGAACAAACTGAAGCATGATCTCATTCAAAACAAATCAGGATCACAGTGGAATTATGGGCCTAAATCTGAAACCTTTATAGACAGTGGGGGATATTGTTAAAGCTGAGATGACAAACACAACGGTAATGTGGATTTGAAGGCTTTGTCCAAGGCTACATTACTGCTGTATGACATCAGCTCTTAGCCCAAGTCGTAGTTTGGAAATTATTTTATTTCACAGCATTTTCATGAGCACATTTTTTTTTAAGTATGTTCAAAGGTGCATTGTGTAACTTTTCTGGTGGAGGGTACATCGCCTGCTTGTTCCTATGGATATGTTATTGCCTCTCACTCTGCCTGGAATTTTCCACAGTATGACGTTACACAGCTCTACCTTACATTTATTCAATTACAGGTAGTTTTACAGCTAAAAATACCTGGCATTCTGACTGTGAGCAGGGTTGCCTCTCCACAGATCTGAACTGTAACTTAGTCTGGTTTGGTCTCCATGAAAAGAATAACAGGCAAAACATCAACATCCCCATGGAGAAAAGTATTTGATGACCCCCCCCTACCAGAAAAGTTACACAATGCACCTTTAAAGGGCAGGAGTCATTTAAAATTCTCGGTCAACTAAGGACATGCTCTCTCGATCCATCAGTGTGTAAAAGTGTGTGAGTACCTCTGAGTTCATGCAGAAACAACCATTTATACAGAAAAGTGCTTGGAAACTGTAAAAAGGCAGATTAAACTCCGAAATCTTTGGCTAGCTCACTCCACACCTTCTCCTTTCTGCTGTTGTCTCATATGAATCCTTGTAATATAAATAAAATAATAAGTTGATTAATACAAATTCTGATAAACCAGAATACCATTGACGGAGTAATCAACTAGTAATGACTAAAGACTCAGACCCTCTACTAAGAAAACCATGCTTTAGGCCAAGATTGTACCCATGCTTGCAAATGCTTTATGTAGGGCATTGTGATCATTCAAATAACTGCAATTATGTCAGGTAGGGCATCTGGCATAAACTCATTTCATATAGCCTAGTCTGTGAGTAGTAACAAGCAGTACATGTACAGAACTACACATACAAAAAGAAAAAACACTATGCAAACAAACATTATCTCTTGTGCTATTTTTTTTATTACATTTTTATTAAATCATATGTACAAGCCATAAAAAAGATTGAATAGAAGTTGCTTTGACAACACAGTATTAATAGTCTACTTTTTTGCTTTTCCAGATGTGACCACAGCTGCAGCTAAAAGTGAGGATTTGGCCAAAGCCATACTGGCCCATCGTTTCTATCCTCCCGTCATTGGTTCAGAGGCCTGGGAGGGATACAAGTTTTCAGACCTGGAGATTCGCATCAAAGAGTCTACTGACTTCTACGGGGCGGTGCTATGGCCTTCTGTGTGTAAATAAGACCCATTCAGTCTATCTATAAAGGTGAACCTTATTGGTAAACTGTTTTTTTTTGTTTTGTTTTGTTTTTTTTTATCTACAGGCAATGGTCTTATGTCATTTCTTGGAGGAGAATCGGGACACCTACAACTTAGTCGACAAAAACGTGATTGAACTGGGAGCTGGGACTGGACTTGTCACAATTGTAGCCAGTCTTTTAGGTATGTTAAAATAAAACGCTTGGTTATTTGCATGTAGAAATTCAAGTTGGATGCACAGTGACAAAACAACAGACTCTAAAGTCTAGAGTGAGTAATGGTAAAAATATTAGACTTAGACAAACTTTTTTTTGAACCACAGGGGAAATTATTTGGACACAGTAGGTCAGACATCACAATATATTATAATAACAAAGAGCAAAAATATAAATGGTAATAATAAATTCTAAATAAGTAGCAAAAATAGCAACAGACTGGGGTCAAATAAGGTATAATTCGATAAATGTAAATATGCTAATTTGTTGAACTGGTCATTGTCCAGGACTCCACCCTGAGCCCATAGTTACAAGGGAAAGGCTCCACTCTCTAAAATACAACTAAAATAAATAAACTTCCTACATTTTCATTATATTTTTATCTTTTTTTTTTGTACTCAAGGGGCTAAGGTGACCTCAACTGACCTTCCTGATTTGTTGGGAAACCTCCAGTACAATGTAATGCGAAACACCAAGACTGGGTGCAGGTACATCCCTCTGGTACGTTGTTATTATTATTAATATTACTACATATTGTTAAATGTGCACAATGTAACTTTTGGTTAGGGGTCCGTCACCTACTTGTTTCTATGGATATGTCATTGCTCTGCCTGGAATGTTCCACAGTGTGACATCAAACAGCTCTACCTTACGTTTTTTCAGTTACAGGTTGTTTTATAGCTCAAAAATACTTAGAAAAACAGGCATTCTGACTGTGAGTGGGGTCACCTCTCCACAGATCTGACATGTAATTTGGTCTTGTTTGGTCTCCATGAAGATAAAATTGTTTAATACCATACTGTGAAACATTCTAGACAAAGTAATAACATCTCCATGGAGGAAAGCATTTGACAGACCCTCCAATAACCTTTAAATGTAATCTAACAGTAATTATTTTTCATAGGTCACAGAGCTGTCCTGGGGTGCACAGGTGAACGAGCGATTTCCCCATAACACACATTATTTCGACTACATTTTGGCAGCTGACGTGGTTTACGCTCACCCCTTTTTAGATGAGCTACTGGACACTTTTGAGTATCTGTGCAGAGAAAACACAGTGATCTTGTGGGCCATGCGTTTCCGACTGGACCCAGAGAACAGTTTTGTGGATCGATTTCAGGAACGTTTCCACCTGGAGGAGCTGTACGACCTGCCCACTTTAAGCATAAAACTGTACCGAGCCTGGAGGAGGGACACATTGACTAATGGAGTTTAATGGTGCATCATGCAACTTTTCTGGTGGAGGGTTCATCAAATGCTTTTCTTCATGGAGATGTTATTGTTTTGTCTGGAATGTTTCATAGTATAGCATTAAACCTTTCTATCTTCATGGAGATCAAACCAGACCAAGTAACAGGTCGGATCAGTCACAATGTCACAATATTTTTTGAGCTATAAAACCACCTGTAATTTAATAAATGTAAGGTAGAGCTGTTATACTATGGAACATTTTAGGCAGAACATCATCATACATCTCCATAGAAACAAGCAGGTGACAGACCCCCAGGTATGCACAAAAGCTGCATAGTGCACCTTTAATGTTGCTATTCTATGCAGGGAATTGTTGTTTACATCTGGACCCATTTAAACTTTGTCTACTGACCATTTGTTATAAAAATCAACGCCTTTTTTATTTTTATTTATTTGATTTAAAATGACCAGACACTTATATGTTTTTATAATCAATTTGACTGGTAACATGAAGCCTTATCCTCTGCATTTTTTGTCTCACATCAACCAACCTTTTGCCCTGTTTACGTATATGTTAATTTCTTGGTTGGTTTTCCTTCAAATCACCGCATCAAAACTTAATTTCTTCTCTAACCCTCCTCTGTACGTGTCTTAACTTCTCCATTTTACCTTCAAAACACTTGACCCATGCCCCTCATATGTCTAACCCCATCCATCCTGCACATCGTCAACATCTTCAGATCTGCTACCTCTGCAATGTTAACCTCAGCAATTCAACCAAAACTTAAGTGATATCAGCTTATGTCTTAATTGTTGCTTGAACACAGCAGTTTTTGTTGTTTCACTGGTCATTAAAATTGCTTAGCTACATTTTATTTGTCTCTCTGTTTTTCATTAACTTTGATGAAATGTGTAATTAGTTCTTGCCCAGCCTATACTGCATGAAGACATAGGCTACTTTATCTACACATTCTATATCTAAAACATACATACATTAAAGCATTTACTAGATTAAAGGACCCATATTTAGACTATTTTCTGATCTATGTTATAATGTCATTTTCTCATCACAAACATACTGGACTTGGAGTTGTGTTTTGTTTCATTCACACATGTTTAATGCACAGACCCTGCGTATTTAGGCTGAGTTTTTCTCAGAAAATAGTCAGTGTCATGGTGTAATAGAGGAAGTGCACTAGAACCATTTGGAAAATTTCAGCTCTGGAATCTGTCTGGAAGGTAAAAGGTAAAAATTACCTCTTCATGAAGGTGAAACAGAGCATTTTGAGCTTTAGTGATATAGGCAGACTAATAAACCAGGATTACTCAAACATGTGTGAATGAAACAAAACACAACTCTGAGCTCATTTGTTTTTGATGAGGTAACAGCATTCTAACATGGCTTAAAGCTCACAAGAGTCAATTTTGCGTAATACAAGTCTTTAACGGTGAAATGGTTAAAAGACTTTAGTCCATTGTAGTAATGTAAATAGGTTATAATTTCAAATTAAGATTTTGAGAAAGAGAGAGATGAGTGGAGTCAAGGTAGTAGTTAGAGAATAGGAGATGAATCAAGATCTGGGTTTGTTGGTGGTTTTCTGATTCTTGAAAGTGATGATGTCATACTCTCAGATGGGAGACAAGGGTCAGATTTATTTACATTGTACACTGCCCTGAAATATTCAAAAGGTCAGTTCACAAATGTGGGACCCGATCGTTATCATCCTCATCATCATTGCCCCTGGGACGTGCACATGATCAAGGGCAGAGGAAAGCCTGAGCCTTTTGCCAGATTTACAAAACTCCAGATTGATGATAGAAGTGTACATGAATTAAACTATGAATGATTTTTACGTCGATATTTGGGTTTTTGTTTTTGATGTCAATCTAAAGTTAAATCTATGTTTTTTCTGGGTTTATGGCAACATCTGCATCGTCATTATCCCAAACATCTACAGGGATCCTTTTTGACAATGTACGAAGGTGTAAACCAGATGTCTAGATATTGTAGAGCTAGGATGCAATCTACGTGATCTATAAAAGCACACCTGTGCCAGGTAAGGGTAGTTTAAGATGACTGTCTATGATTTCAAACTCTGAAAGCAAACTCTGTGCCATTCATTACCAATAATTCCCCACTGCCAATATGGAATCCATTTAGTCATATAGGTTCAGGAGCTCTATAGGTTAAAAGAAAAAAAAAAAGAAAAAAAAAAAAGCCTCCTATGAGGCTGCAGTTGCACCACTAAATTTGATATCAAATTTTATGAGTCAAATCTTATAAACATTTTGGCATCTATTTTCTCTTGCAGAGTCACTCCTTGTCATTGTGCCCAGAGACAGGGATCTGTTTCGGCTTTGGACGAGGTTTATATGGGTCAGAAAGGGTTATCCAAACTATAAGTCAACACTTACGATGTGATTAGTCAACATCCAGAAGAAATGTGGGTAATACCACTATTTACTACTAATCTTTACCGTTACACATACCCAATACTTTTAAACGAATTGCATTTCCCACCCTAGATTTTAGCAATATTATTTTGTTGCATACAATATTTGCATATTTGAGGTAAATATACACACGGTATACTACTTTTCATACTCCACTTTTAAGTTTGGATTCTCCCTGTAACAATAAGAGCTGATTTACAATTCATCAAGAATAGGCTTATCCAAAAACATGCCTGTAAATGTCCTTGACTGCAAACTATACACAAAAGTGCAGAAAGATAGCCTTACACAAGTGGTTCCTCAAGCTTTGTTCCACACCTCCTAACTCTGGGGTAAATAAATGTATACATATTTAGACCTAAAAGTAATACACTATATTGTCAGTTATTACTTAGATTCTCTTGTTTCAACGATGTCAATGTCTAAATTCTCCAAAATTTAATTATTAAAGAAGTACAAGACCATTTTATTCTCCAGATGACCACTCAAAAAGTGCTCACCTACCCCTGGTATTGATTTTTGTTCATCTTTTGCTGCTTTTAACGGTTTTCTTATTATAGTTGAGGGACGTCTCATTTCGCATATCTTCAAAACAATTACCGTTAGCTATATTTATTAGTGTCTGTATTTTCTTAGGCTGGCAACCTATATGACAACTAATATTGTTTATACATATAAACATCTACATGTGCATACTTATACTTATTTATACTGATATTTGTATAGTTATGCCTTATTTGACACACCAGTCTCTTGCTATTTTTGATACTTATTTTTGAATTTATTATGACCATTTATATTGTTGCTCTTTTTTATTATAATGTGTTGTGAGGTGTGAGCTACTGTGACCAAATCATTTCTTCTGTGAATCAATAACATTTGTTTCTAAGTCTATATCAGCCACGCCTTTCCAAGCTACAACTGTCCACCTCCACTGCCAAGAACATTACTAACTATACCAACTGTTGAATACAAGTAGCCTGATTGAATAGCTGCTAACTTTCAACAGTCTTATGGAGGAGCAACAGGTTAAAAGCCAATGGTTTGTACCTTGACTGTTCACAATGCACCAGTGCATTAACCTCAGAGTGGGAGTATTTTGTTTATGGGGTGATGCAGTGGCCTCTCCTTGGGCTAGAGTGGACAACTGATCCTCTAAGGTGCGACTTCATGGTTAGTTCCAGTTGAAATGCGGCCGGGCAAAGGTTTAATTGAGGTTAGTGTTACAGGATCCCTTCTTCTTCTTTTATTTTAGGGCTTATACGTGGGCCTCACCAAACGCCAGACTGATCCTGTTTCATTCCTTGTTTGGGGAAGCAATTTAGGCCCTAAAAGAAAAGCATAATTATAAACATATCTTAAAAATTAAATATTGAAAAAGCTTGTTTTTTTGTTTTGTCTTCAGTTGCTATTGCACTAGAATTGATTGTGCTGTAATTATATTGACTTTTAATGGCTCTATACATATAGTTTTAAAGACCACAGTTTAGAGTCTAGTCCAGTTTAATCCCACTCAAACACAAATCATGAGCTTGGCTTACTTTCAAAAGTGTATTAGATGTTGGTGTTACATAACAAGGTAAGCTAGCTCCAAATATGTAGCCTATGCTGAATTAAATTATGATAAATAAATATTTTTAAAAATCAAGAATATTTTAATATATGTATTTATTAATGTGGACATAGCAGTTACATTTGATTAGAGATGTATTCTTTTAAGTGTTTATAGCACCAGTGCACATTTTCATTACTTTCATTTTAAAGGGTTTAGAGTCCAGAAAAGAAACTAAAACAACTAAAACTAAATAAAAAATAATAAACAATAATAAAGTAATAAAAATTCATTAATTTTATTAATTAAAACTGCTGTGCATAACATGTAGCCTGTCCTTTGGTCAGTCAAATTAATGTAAATTTATGGAGTTGGTCCTGCTTTTGTATACTTGCTTAAACTTTTTAATGATAGACATTTGTTTGCAATCCTTGTTTGGAGCTTATAATCCTCCAAATATCAATTTAACTGTGTTTGGTCCTGGTTAAGGTTTGGTCTTGGTTTAGTTCTTCTACTTGTTTCGCAAAAGTGTGAAAATCGGTAGAATAGAGTGAAAAAAAAAGTTTTAAATGTAATAATAATTTTGTTTCTAACTAAGAAGAACCAAGTAAGCTGTTATAGATCATATTATAATCTCTAAAGAGTTTGAAAGATCATCCAGGATGCTTTCAACCTGAACAATTAAGTTTGTTTTACTTAACGCCATACTGCATACCTGACTGGCATAGATAGTTTTGCCCACTCCCTCTTGTTGGCATCATGGCTGTTACTCTTTCTGTCTCTGTACGTGCTCTGCTCTCATATCATCAGTTTGTGTTTATGTCGCAGTGGGAGTAAAAATAGCGCCATGCCCTTGTGATGATGTGGAGGGGTGTGCCCAGTGGATGCTCAGTATAACCTTGCATTTGGGGGGTCTCTCTATGCACTCCTGGTATTACGTGATCGCGCCACAGACTTGAGGAACAGACACAGGCAGCAGGTAGGTCAAAGGTTACATTCAGGGCAGGAAATAGAGATTGTTTTTAAATGTTTTTGAATTTTTTGTCCTATAATTTTGAATTGGTGTATATTGTCATGCACATGAATTTCACTTAAGTTGTATATGTTGTCATTTCTCTCAACATGGAGGGACTGATCTAAAATATAATCATTTATGTCTGTAGGATTTGTCTATATATTTGTCCAGGGAGTTCAATGGAGACAAAATCCTCATACCTGGAGGAGGACGATAACTGCAAGCACATCAGTGAGGATGAGGAGGAAGACAAGCATGAAATTCAAGGGGAAGAAGATGGTAAGTTTTGGCATACAGTAAATCATAGTTGATTAACAACTTTTGTGATTTTTGTGTTTTGTAGGTGCCCCACTCAAAGAGGAACCGGGTGCTCAGAAACAGAAGAGCTCCTGGACTCCCTCATTTTTCTACAGAATGGACAGAGAGGTGCATCACTTTGCCGGACATGACATTTTAATACAAGAGGCACAGGATTCCTTTGCAGCTACAACTTGGCCTGCGGTGAGAAAAATTCAACAGTCTCAACATATTATCAGGATTCATGGCAGGGGCGGTGCCAGGGGGGCTTGAGGGGGCACTAGCCTCCTCTAGAACGACCGGTGCACCCTCATAGCTCCCCCTAAAGATTTTTGCCACATCATAGGGTATTCAATCTCAACTAAAAATGTTCAAATGGCAACCACTGAATTTTCAAAAAAAGACTACAATAATAGAATAAATAAAAATGTCATGAAAGAAAAAAAAAAAAAATTATGCATGTATCAAATTTTTATATAAAGGGAACTAATTCAATATCAAGTTGTTAAAAAACTGCAAAACAAACAGGGTAGGGGGTGGTGGTGTGCTCACATCTATAAAAGGCTCAAAATTATCCCATGTGAGCATCCCCATTTGAAGAACTTAGCCCCCCCATAGTTCTTCTAACCAAAAATGTGTGCTGCCGCCCCTGGTCCATGGGGTTAAGAGTGATAAATTACTGGGACGGGACCATAGCAATTAAAGTCAAAACTAAATATAACTTTTAACTGGTCAAAAGTCCTGAAAATGGCATCCATAACCAGAAAATGTCATGTGACTGAAATCATCAATAGGGAAATATTATTTAAGAGGTAATAGTAGCATTGTTAGTGTAGATTCAGTGAATTCTGTATTTGTAAATTTTGGATATTTTCTGAAAATACATTGTAATAATCAGATAGACAGATAGATACTTTTCCAGTTCGACAGGAGAAAACAAACATAGCATCATAGAGAAGATATTTGAAGTTAGCAGTCTGTCCTCTTGCGTTCATCAGCTGTACGGGTGAGTCATATGGGAAAACTGGCCCTTGCCTCTCTTTACAGGTTTTCAACACAACGTGATACTTCATCTGATGCTTTTGTAATAGCAGGAAATTATCACACACTTTCTTAGACACGCACACATAGGGGCACATGTCAATTGAATCTCAATCATCTGGCTTGAGTTCACAGAACCTTCTCCAGGAATGCAATGGCCTATTTCAACATGTTTTTAAAGACACCGCAACAAGTCCATAAAATGTCATCACCCATAAAGTAATTTTAGGAATTTAAATACGACAAAAATAATTCCCCTCATCTGACCTATAGTGAGCTTCCAACCGATCCACATTAAAGTTTGTCCAAGTAATTGCTCTGTAGACAAAATATTCACTTTCATCCACATACATTCGACCAAATAACTAGTATAAAGAGTATGAAAAGATAATACTGTGTTGAGTGGACATTTTTGTCTATAGATTCTCTATTAAATCAATCCTGAAACCAGCACTGCATACTAGACTAATGCTGTTTAAAGGTCCTATATTATGAAACACTAACTCCTGTAAGCTTTAAGCCATGTTAGAATGTTATTACTTCATTAAAAACATACCTGTAGTTGTGTTTTGTTTTGTTCACACATGTTTGAGTAATCCTTTATTATTATATTATATCTCCAAAGCTCAAAATGCTCTGTTCTACCTTGTGTGGTAGTTCAAATTATTCTAGTAGTGGTGTATGGAGTGGAGCAGTGGAGCACTTCCTGTTTTACCACATGACATCACAAAGTGGAGCTGAGTTTTCAGTTGGAAATAACTTAAATATGCAGGATTTGTGTGTTAAACAATTGTGAATGAAACAAAACACAACTTCAGGTATGTTTTTGATGAGGACACAGCATTAATATCTGTCCATCCATTTTTTTTCCCGCTTATCCGCTTATCCAGCTGGCTGGGTCCGCATCTCTGGTACTTTGACCCCAGGAACCTTAACATAGAGCCATTTTGAGTGTCATTTTGAATAATCTCTTTATTCAGTCTTTATTCAGTCTAAATCACAACTTTATGCTTGCATGGCATCATTACACAAATATTGTACTTTTAACCTCTGCTCTTCATCTTTAAGGCCCCCGCTCTCTGTCAGTACCTGGAAAGTCACTACAAAGAGCTGAATCTTGTGGATAAGGCCGTGCTGGAGATTGGATCTGGAACTGGACTCGTATCTGTTGTTGCAGCTCTTCTTGGTATGAGAAAGAAAAATAACTGAACATAAAATCTAACCAGCTTTTTTCTGTCGTGGGGTCTGCCACCTACTTTTGTGTCCATGGAGATGTTATTGCTTTACCTGGAATGTTCCACAGTATAGTATTATGAAGAAAAGATGACATCACCAGGCCAAGCTACAAGTCTGATCTGTAAAAACGCAACCCCACCTACAGATGTTTATTAAGAATTTCAAAAGCGCAGTAATAGGCTCTGTGTACAACAGCTCCCAGCAGCCTTACTGTTAGCGTTATTACTTCCTAACCAGTTGTTTCTTTATGAGTTTTTTTCAGAGTCACACTAAAATTAATAAATATTTAAAGATCAGGCTGTGGACAGGGAGTTGCAGGTGGAAGTTCCTTAGCCTGATTCATTAGCCGGTTTCACTTCGTGGAAACCGTCTGACCTCGCAGCATTAGAATTCGTTCACTCGATGATAGGCTGGTGCTTTTTTTATTTAACCAATCGCTGCTATTTAGTTGTGACGTATGTAATGCACCGGAACGCTCAGTGGTGTCCAAGTAATTGCCGGCACAACAACAAACAAAGCAGAGAGTGAACATATCTGTCAATGATCATTGTCGTTTCTGTGAGATGAAGTTGCAAATTAAAGGTGCAATTTTAAAAAATTGTAATCGACAAAGGAAGTCCAAAGGAGGATAGCGTATGCAGTCTGCCATCTCAACTCAGGTTGGTTCAGCTCTTCAATGATTGGCCGGTGCGCGGTCTACAACTTCCAGGGTTCTTGCAAACCGTCTAGTGAAATGAAATTGAGCGGAGGCATAAACTGAAGTAGGCTAATCTGTATATAAAACAATCAGGTAGTCTTTTACTTAGGCTGTTGATCTTATATGTTCAGTGCTGTAATTTGGAACATTTCAGGCAAATCCATAACATTTCCAAAGAGACAAGCAGCTGGCAGACTCTCCACAAGAAAAATTACATAGTGAACCTTTAAAAACTGGATTTTCTGTATTACCTGTGTGTCCGTTAGGGGCTTGGGTGACAGCCACGGACCTCCCTCACGCTTTGGGCAACTTAAAAGTGAACCTGTCAAAAAACACAAGAGGCAAATCCAGACACACTCCACAGGTGGCTGCTTTGTCCTGGGGCTTTAACCTGGAGAGCACCTACCCAACCTCTGTGTACCACTACGACTACGTCCTGGGCGCGGATATCGTCTACCACCACGACTTCCTCAAAGAGCTTCTGGCCACAATGAAGCACTTCTGCCAACCAGGAACAAAGCTGCTCTGGGCCAATAAGATGAGAATGGAAAACGATTTGGAGTTTGTGGAAAAGTTTAAAAAGACATTTAATACAAAGCTGGTATTTGAAGAAGGCGATATGAAGATATTTATGGCAACCTGCAAAGAGGATGGAGAGGAGGAGGATGCTGAAGATTTGAAGGTTGAATCAACATGTGAGCCTGAGATAGGGAATAATATGGAAAAAGCTGAAGCCGTAATAGATAGGCGTGAGGAAGAAGCTGCTTTAAGTCCTGCCAGAGAGGACAGTGAAGAGCCTGAGGATGAGGAAGGGGAGGATGAGGAAAATAATGATGAAGATATCAAAGCTGATGTTTTGAAAGTTGGTCCAGATAATGAGCTGGATCATACTATGAAAAAAGTTCAAGGTCAAGAATTAGGTCAAGATAGGAGTGAGGAGGAAGTAACACTGAGTGACACCGGTGAAGACAGTGAAGAGGCTGAAAAGGCTGAAGAGGAAGAAGAGGCAGAAGAAGAGGAAGAAGAGAGCAACAGTGATGAAGATAAGAAAGAAGAACCAAGCGACAGCCCAGATCAAGACAGTAAAGAAGACACACAAGGTCAGTCATGACTTACAGTAGGACATTTGGTCCAGCATACATGCTCCATTCATACCTGCTGCATTATTTTAAATCCATTCCAGTGTATGTGTGGTCCAAATCTGCTTTTATCTTCCTCTCCTTCTCACTTCTCTTTTTATTGAAACATCTCTCTGCATCTCCCTCCAGCTTTCACTGTGTCCCAACCATAGACTGATAAAAATGGATATAGCAAAACTGCTAGGCAAATAGGAAGTGTTCAAGGGGGCGCTTCCGGCTCCAACAAAGATTTACATGTACATGAAAAATCTCTGCAACTGCTGCTGTGACCTGCGTCATTTTTGGTCTTAAAATGTTCATATTTCTATTCCTAACACCAAATTCAGCTTCAGATTCTCTCCCATAACTCCCTCGTGAGCTTAATTTGACTGGAGCCAAACGCTATGAGCGACGTCACACTCACTTTGTCCACTTCTTTATACAGTCTATGGTCCAAATTCATTTCTTGACTTTACCAGTGAACAGGTCGTTATTCAAATCCCCCTCTACACTTCCTTTGTGATGTGGTCTGTATAACTGTTTTTTTAAGCATTCCCCTGTACATCAAACTTTCAAAGACTTACTTCACTTCAGAACAGAAAGACTAAAAATGACATGAAAAATCTCATTCCACACCATGTGTTCATATTATTGTTGCTTATGTTGCTAATGACAATATGCAGTTTTATTGTCATCATGTCTGCTTACATGTCTGTTTCTGTTATGTTTGTAATGTTTGTTCTATGTGAATCATTTAGTGAATAAAAATAGTCTCAAACAATTCAGTGCTTCTACTTATGCCTTGTTTTTCATTTATTGTATGTTCCGTCTGTTATCAGTTAATCTGCAAAAATAGACAAATCCCATTATTATAATCTAAAAAAAAAAAAAAGTTGACTTAAGATGGTCTGCTTTTGCAAATTAACTTCACTGCTGATTTTCTGGCCACTGGTAACTACAATTTGAAATCAAAGAAAAAACATTATGACTAATCCTCAGATTGGAAGACTGTCTATGTCTTTGTGCCAATGGCATGTCTATGTATTGAGGTTTCTGCATCCAGATTTCAATTGAAGGCCCTGTACCTGCCATTTGCCTTATCCACAAATCCCTTCCCCATGGGATAGGACCATGATTGTGATAAGGAAACAACATTATAACACAGATCAGAAAATAGCATAACAATGGGCTCTTTAAGAACTGATATGTTTTGTTAAGGGCATTTACCTGAACTAGAAAAGATGTACAAGGCCTTTAATTGATCAGTTCATTTTCTTATTATAAAAAATACAAATAAATAAAACTTCAATGGCCATGTGTCTATTGCCATTATTATTAAATAAAAATTATAATAATGGCTTGGTCCACTACTTTACTTCTGCGCGCTATTGTTTAAAAGTATTCGTTCACTCCAGTTTTTATCACCTGTGGCTTTTATCCAGACTCAAATTGGTTTATCTTTTAGTAATTTGGAGCGGGTTATCTATGCTTTTATCTCTACACATCTTGACTACTGTAGTGCGCTGGCTGTACACTGGTATCAGCTAAGCTCACCTGCCACGCTTACAGTGAGTCCAAAATTCTCTTTACCAGTACATATCGTAGAGAACATCAGTCACACCTATTTAATCCTCATTACTCTGGCTCCCCATCAATTTTAGAGTTGATTTAAAAATTGCATTGTTTATTTTTAAAGCACTTCATGGACTGGCCCCAACATACATTTCAGAACTCATTGTTCCCTACACCCCTTGTGTTACTCTGTTGTCTGAGGGTCAGTGCCAACTTGTCATCGCAAAAACGAGACCCTGGGGTGACCAGTTGGACGCTCACCCCCCCTCACATTAAGAGCACCCCTTCAGTCAGTGCTTTTAAGTCTTATTTAAAAACGCACTTTTACTCAGTGTCTTTTAACACAGCGTGTCGTCCTCTGTTTGACTTTTATTGATTTTATTTGTTATTTTTCTTTTTTATTAACTTGCTTATTTTTTTTGTTATGCTTTATTTTATTTTATTTAATGTGTTAATTTATACTGTGGCTACTCTGTGCAGCACTTTGGAGACTTGTGCTATACAAATAAATTTGGACTGGATTGGATACAAACATGCCCACATAGGCAAGCTGAATGAAGTGTTTTCCCCAAGAATTGTATTCCCCAGTATTACAGTTCAAACTGGAATAAAGCCTCAAGGTTTGAAGTCAGTGCTAGGCAAGGCAAGTTTATTTGTATAGCGCAATTCATCTACTCAGTAAAGAGAAAATGCTCTGAGTTTATTTAATATCGCTTATCTTATCTAAGGGTCATGTCTGGGGCACTGAGGCTTAAGTTTACAGCCTGGATGAACGTTACTCATAAATTTGACATTAACTGACCCATGGATTGAAACCACAAAAGGCGCTAACCCCTCATGCTCCAGCTGCAATGTCTAATTTTGTAGCTGGATACAAGAGAAAGAATGAAGTTTGGTATCTGGGTCACTAATGATGTCCGCTTAGAGAAGCCACAAATGTGCTGAAGTCAGTTCGATAATACCAAGGGGAATGGTACCCGATCTCCTCACTTTACAAATCATAAACCTGTATGAAGTCTAAAAGATTTATTCAAATGTGGAAAATGTCACTGTATTCAAAATAAAACAATTTATCTATACAGGAGAACAGAAAAAAGTCAGTGCACTTCCGTGGGCCCCCAGCGTCATCAGTCGTCTTGGTAAAGAGATTTATCATTACGTGGGGACGGATATTAATATTTTTGAAGCCTTTGATTCCTATGGGGGTTTGATGTGGCCAGGGGTAAGTACCAGGCATAAAAAGATAATATAATCTTTATTTTAATATAAACTCATACTAACTTGAGTATGGTTGTGTTGCCTGTAGGCTTTGGCTCTTTGCTCTTTCCTGGAACACAACACAGACATTGTGAATCTCCAGGATAAAGAAGTTTTAGAGCTCGGAGCTGGGACTGGACTTGTGGCCATCGTAGCAAGTCTTCTGGGTGAGCTTAAAAACATGGAAATAATGTAGAGATGTATATAAAGCAATGTTACCCATTAGTGAGCAGGATACAGTATGTACATTTTAACTCTATACTCTTAACTATAATGTGAGAGAACGTTGAAAGTTATATAAATTGAAGAATATGAATTGATAAACTACAAATACCCCAACTATAGCTAAGAGTTTTTCTATAAAAAGACATTTTATTCTTTTACAGAGGACATTGTAATAAATATTTGCAGCATTTGTGAAGTGATAATTGTGCTAACATGTGATTTTTATTCAATTGTGACATAGTAGGCCTATTGTGCAGCCCTATTGATACTTTGCACTGACATCACTCTGGGGGTGTTTTTCGTGTATCTCTATTGGAGGAATGTTCAGAAGTTAGCATGGAGGCACAATGCACACATAGCCAAAAAAGTCTTGTGTCCCCTCTCTCAGCAGATTTATCCAAAACCAGTGATTTGTCCCAATTTTATAAAAGACATGTCCCACGTGTCCTTATTTTTGACCAGTTTGACACCTGCAGTAAAGTGTAAACATTAAAGAGAGGCATAAACTGTTACTTGTTGAGGTAAAATACAGAAAGCTGGTTAGACAAGCCCAAAATACAAAAAAATGTGGCTATACTGACTCACGTTAGTCATGAATGGGTCAAGTACAGAACTATTTTCCTTAATTACGCACTTGTTTCACAGTGTAATTATTACCAACTGCCACAAACCAGGGGTGTTCCAGTTTTTTATTTGAAAATCTGGTCACTCTATCTAATTCAGGGTCCTGTTAAGGTGTTTGATTTTCAACCAAAAAAGGTGCGAGTGACTACCAGAAAAACTGTAGACTAATGCTAGCCCGTGACTGTAGTTTTAATGTTGTTTAAATGCACAAATCATCTCACCTGATGTAGTTCCAACTAAACTAGCTCTTTCTGGTCAGATTATGTAGCAGAGCTCCTAACAGAGCAGTGCTTTAAGTTAGCTTCGCATCATCGGACAAAGTTAATATCAGCTGCAAAGTATCAGTAAAATAGCCACATGACGACAGTGTTTTTTTCACAGATGATGTTTATTTTATTGTTTCAGGAGCCAAAGTAATGGCCACAGACCTACCAGAAATCCTGGGGAATCTACGGTCTAATGTGATGAGGAATACCAGGGGCAAGACCAGGCACTTACCCCAGATTTGCCCCCTGCCCTGGAGCTTCGATGTTGGGCGTACCTACCCCTCAGCTCTGTACAAGTTTGACTACGTGCTGGCCGCTGATGTGGTCTATCACCATGACTTTTTGAACGAGCTCCTGGCCACCATGGTTCACTTCTGTCAGCCCAGAACCACCATCATCTGGGCCAATAAGGTCCGTCTGGAGTCAGACTTAACCTTCACAGAGAAGTTTAAAAAAGAGTTTAACACGACGTTGCTGGCTGAAGATGGAGAAATGAAAATATTTATGGGGAAATTTAAAATGTGAAGACTTTTTTTGCTCCTGGCTGAGTATGCAGCAGTTGTATATTATTATATTGTGTTTGGGGTGACCAGACATCCCTATTTACCCGGGACATTCCCAGTTTTGAGCCCTGTGTCCCCTGTCCCAGTAGATTTATCCAAAACCATTGATTTGTCCCTGTTTTATACAAGAAATGTGTCCCTGTTTGTGACCAGTTTGATCATTTGTTTAGGTAAAATACAGAAAATCAGCTTAAAAATGACCAAAACACAACCAAAATGTCTATACTGACTCACATGTTAGTCATGAATGGTCTCTGCATAACAGTTTTCCTTAATTACGCAATCATTTCACAATTTTATTATTACCATCCACCCAAATCGATGATGTCCCAGTTTTTAATTTTGAAAATCTGGTCACCCTAATTGTGTTCCAAAAGGACTAAAAATAATTTATGGGGTAGATTTCACTGCATAAAAACATCACAACACCAAACATTTTAATGTTACTCTAACCTAAACACAATTGAATAATGCACAGAAGCAGAGCCTGGTGCTTTATACTACAATTTACTGCTTTCTGAATCACTTGTTGGGTTTTGCTGAGCTGGCAATGATGCTTTTTGTATTTTATTATATTTTGCTACAAGAAATAAAGAATAGCATGAAATTGCAATCATGTAAATATTTTAAATTCCAGGGTTTCAGAAGATATCACACCCTTCTATCCATGAGTCTCAAAATGAAAAATTAGGACCGTTGTCATGGCTATTAACAATTCAAAACAACATATATGTTTATAATGGGAAAAAATACAAGCAGTCATGGTCCCCGTTTAGGTGTTTGATTTTCAACAAATAAGACTGAGTGAAAAACTGTTGGCTAGTCGACTCTTCCAAGTCAGACTGTGTTAAAAAATTCAGATTAAAGTCTAACTTCTGACAGTAATGCTTTCACACTTAGCTTAATATTCCCATAGTATCTTGATGACATGAGCTGAAAAGTATCATCAATAAATGAGGAGAGATTATAGATTAGATGAATTATAAAATCATCAAGTTGTGCATTTCCATAACAAAAATGGACACGTTTTTTTTTTTTTTTCCTAGTCATTTATTAAGTGTTGTTTCATTGTTTTGACGCAAGTCTTGAGATCACAAAATGTGACAGTGGCTGGAGCTTTCACTCCATCACCCAGGGAAGATTTTCTGGGTATAAAATACTAAATGCATACATACAATTTTATATAACATAAATATTGTAAAATCTTGGCATTTTTACTTTTAAAGTCACTCAACTTTTTTCCTGATACCAGCAAAGTGAGAGAGATGTAAAACTATAAAATGGACGGTATAGTTGAAAGTTAAGGCCATTGGAGAATGGTTGGCATGGATACTAAATCAAGGCTCAAACACACCTGCAATGCATATGAGGCCATGACATGAAAATCAACATTAAAAATTAAATGAGGGAAAGCCTGAGCCGACAAAGTGCAGACAGTCAAAGCTTTAAAAACAGAAGTGCAGCAGGTCCGCAACCCCACGGGGAAAACGTGTGATGTGATAGTAAAGCTCCAAGTCTCAAAAAAGAACACGAACTCACCAGAGACACAGAGCCCTGCACTCAAGACCAGCCACCTCTACATTCCCAGGTTACACTTCCACCTAACAGCCAGAAAGACTGTCAAACATGTGGTCAATGCACTTCACTATGCAAAGGGTAACTAAAGACGGCGATATCAACAGTAATGTATTTAAGGAGGATTTAGTGGAGAGTTCTTTCCTGCTTCTTGCATCATTTTAGTCCATTGGTTTACATTTCTATAATAGTCATAGTCTCTTGAAACCTGTACAGTATGTAACTGAATAATATCTAAACACTAATTAAAAGATATTATGTTATGTCACTTGCATTTTACTGTACAGGTTGTTGTGAATGCAGTCGGATTCTTAAAAACGCATTGACCAAAAGCAACTCACTTGATTTTCCTAACAATTAAATAACACACACTTAATTAATTTGTGAATGCCAGAGCCACAGTAAAATACTAAGAAATTTCAATGCCCATTTTCAAAGAGGACCTATTGGCTATGATTTCCAATATTCCAGGACACAGTAATGGCTGACAATAACCATCACAGTGAAGATCAGGTCTGCTTTGATGCCTTTATGAGTCCAGTATTAAGGGCATATTGAAATACATTATGGGCCACATGTCTACCTAATTAAATGGCTTCTGTTGTTTCAAAAAGTTCAACTACATAAAATAAAGTACAAACAACCATTCACAGACACACTCGTCAACATCATATAATAGGTATAATATTACTGTAATAGGGATTATAAATTGTAAAATAAGATAAAATGTGTCCAAATAAAATGCCTTGATTCTAGACGACATGCATATATGCAAAATACATCTATTAGAACATCTGACTATATAGCTATTGCATTTTAATAATTGTACGTTACGTGTATGTACAATTTGACACTGTGTACAAGTTGCAGAAATAACACACTGAATAATTTACAGTGAAATATGAGAGTAAAGGCAGCTGCATTGTCTGTTAAAGTGAGGTTTGTGAGAAAAGATTTGGGTGAAGCCAGCGATTTCTGCTACGTTTTCGCAGTGCAAAAATCAAAACTTTACACCCCAAAAAAGACCGTAAGGTACGAGTACAAGGCACCTCAATACAGTTGTGTTTTGGATCTGAGTTTGAGCTGAAAATGGCATACACTTAAAAGGTGCACCAAGTAACTTTTCTGGTAGAGGGTCTGCCACCATCTATCCATGGAGCTCTTAACAGGAATTACAGGATCTTTCAACTGCTCAAAAATAGCTTCAAAACCATGCAATCGTCCACAGAACTGGCCTGTAAATCGTCACTTGCTTGTCTTCATGGATAAAGATGAATTTAAGATGCTGTCATACTGTGGAACAAACCAGGTAATGCTATAACATCTCTAGAAGTCAGAGACAAGAAGGTGGCGGACCCTTCTCCAGAAAAGTTACATAGTGCACATTTAACATGAGCTTACATACAGATCTAATTAAAAGAAAAAAAAAAAAAGATAAAAACAAAAGATATGCAAGTCTGCTATAACCTGTGTGTACTACAGGGCATGGTGTCTGTACAAGTCTGATTGTTTAAAAAGTCCCAAATTCAGACAGCACCATGTTTTCAACTGATATCACTGATTGGACATTGATAATAAACATAAAATTACATTTATGATATGACAATAGGTAGGTCAGAAGACTTGAATGTGCTCATGACACTAAAAAAAGCAGTGTAAGAATTTCCTTAGCATCAAAAGGTGACGATTGAAAAGTTTTCGTTGCGTTGCTGGCATTTACGTTGGAGCCAAGGCAGAAATGCAATGCCTGCTGTGCTACTCATAACAGACCACTATTGTCCCATTCTGAAAAACTACAAAAAATAAACTGCATTCCCTTAACTGTTAATGGCGTGAACATTCAGAGTAAACTTTCTTGGTAAAAGTCTGAAAAAAATTTAAAAACTACGTGACCCTGAGGACTTAAGTCTCAGAGTGGTGGAGGGCCATGCTGATGCTGTGTGTGGACAGAGATGTGTTTAAAAAGGGGTGTAGTCTGCAGGATACATGACAGGGAGCCAGTTCTCACTGTAGGTGGCGCAATGGGTCCATCTGAGGTTTTTCATGAGCTGGAAATGAGAAGAAGCAGGACAACAATTATGTAATCTACAACAGAAACATAATATTGCAAACCATTTAATTATATTTCTGCTTAAAGGGCCCATATTATGCTATTTTCTGATCTATGTTCAAATGTTTCCTCATCAAAAACATAGCTGAAGTTGTGTTTTGTTTCATTAAAACACAAACCCTGCATATTTAGGTTCTTCTTTTAAATAGAAAACACACTTTTCCACCTTGTGGTGCCGTGTGGTAATACAGAGAGCACTCCACTGTTTTTACACTATATACACCTTCACAAGAATCATTTGGACAATTTCAGTCCTGGAATTGCCAATTTCAACTGAATTAAAGATAGAAAGGTAGATGTTAACTTGAAAACTAATGCTTTTTGACATCACAAGGTAAAACCAAAGCATTTTGAACTGGATTACTCAAACGTGTGAATGAAACAAAACACCGCTCCATGTATGTTTCTGATGAGGTAACAACATTTAAACATGAGTAAAAGCTCATGATAGTCAATTATGCATAATAATACGACCTTTAAAAAATTACTCATTTAGGTGTTATGCCCTAAAAAGGCTGAACCTGTAAGTAAAATTTGTCTTGTTCCAGTATCGATATATTGTAAAAGCAGCAGAGATCAAATGAGACGACTGTGTACTGTCTGCACCCAATTAGAAAGTCTAACCTAGTTTGGATTCACCCAAAACCAGTTTTCTATTACAATCAGCATTAGAAACGAACCTGAATACAGTTTTTCATGTTTTCTTTGCTTGGCTTCTCCTCTCCCATCTTTGTGGCAAACTTCAGGGCTCTACCGTACATCTTGTTCGCCAGGGCATGTTTGTACGAAAACATCAAGACCTAAAAGAAATAAACAAGGGATCAACAAAAAAGCAACTTATCAAACCATGGTGATAACTGGTATTGATACTTTGCAGTGACATGATGCAGGGGGTGTTCTACTTGCATTTCTTTGGTGGAATGTGTCTGTAGTTACTATGGATGGAAATTGGATTTAAACAAGACATTTTCAGGAGCCCGTTTAACAACACAAATCAGATCACCTGTTGTAGTTCCAGCTAAATCAGTTCTTTATGGTCATATTGCATTAAAGTAAAGCTCAGATTAAAGTCTAACTTGAGTAACAGAGATTCAGACAGAGCAGTGCCTACAGTTAACTTCACACACCCAGCACACATCAGCTGCAAAGTATCAATATCACTGAATTTCGATTTTTGAGACATACAGCAGAAACACCAAAAAGAGTCGGTCTCACCTTGGAGTCCGTGAGCTCTGCCCACTTCTGTACCTCCCAGAAGGTGTCAGACAGGGCTTTGGTGATGGCCTGTGTTGTGTCGTCTGAGCTACTGGGGGCTGGATCTCCCCCCTCTTCCCCTGGGGTCTGTCCTGCAGCTGCTCCATCTTGAGAGAGGGGCAGGAGGAGCTGATCTGCCAATGCACAGCCTTTTCTGCACAGGGCATCCAACAGAGAAGACTTCTGCTTCTCCATGTCACTGAAAAACACAGACAAGTGTTCGATTGACCCAGTGACAGCATGGATGGCATTACATGTTATTTTCTACGGCTGTGCAATTTCTAATAGTCCATGATCTTGCCATGTTTGCTACTTATTTTGAGTTTATTATTACCATTTATATTTTTACACTTTGTTACAGTAATATATTGTGACGTGTGAGCTACTGTGTCCAAACAATTTCCATCAATAAAGTTTGTCTAAGTCTATCAACTTTTTTAATCGAAAAGTCCAGAGCCAGTCCTCTGCAAACCACATGCCTTTACTTACAGAGAGTTTGTGCAGTGATTTAAGTCTATTATTAAGGGTCAGGTAATTAGTAGTGAATGCATTTTTATTTATTTGTAACACACAAGAAAATGAAACAGAAAATGATAGTGTAAAAAAAGTTGATTTTTTTTTGTCATATCGCCCAGCCCTATTACCTTATTAGAAGTATGGTCACGTGACAAGAGGCGTGCTTCTCGCTTTTTGGACCATACTAAGAAATCTACCTTTTAATGGAGGCCGCGTCTGGCCGGGGGTCTGTCTTCATGGTGAGATAAACAGCCAAAGCCGTTTGATCAATGCGTGAGATGACAATGTCCGCTGCGGACACGACCTCTTTGAGACGTTTAGCACGCTCCTACAACAAAATAAAAACAAAAAAATAAACAAAACAGTAAATTTTGTCTTTTATCTTTTTTCCGGATACTTTACCTTTTCAGAGTCCAGCTGATGCAGTCTTTGAACATGCAAGGGAAGATATTCTGAGTAGTTTTCCATCAGTTCATCATAAATTGAGTTAGAATCCAACCTAAAAGACACAAAGTTATAAGGTAATTATTAAACATTTTCAGAAATCTCTTTATTATTAGATTCAAGAATGACTTACTTTGTCATCCACTGAATCTTCAGGTCTCTCAAAGCTTCTGCAAACTCATCCTTCACATCCTTCTCTTTGTCTGCATCCTTTTCTTTCTCCTTTCCTCCGTTCTTTGATTTGTTTGGAGCAGGGATGAGGTGGTACACAACTGGCACTATGTCCTATGTGAACACAAAGAAGGGACTAGATGTAATTCAGCTGTCACAAATACAAGGAGACTGGCAGTTTCAATCAGCACCCTAAATTGAAGCATTTCCCCTAAAAAAAATAAAAATAAAAAATCATGTTTTAAGAACTCTAAAATGTTTTGTACTGTAAAGCAAAGACCCAATTGCTAAAGCAGAGAAACCCATTTAAGTGATTTATTGACCACCAGATTTTTTTTAAAACAAACCAGTAACTAAACAACTTCATTATGGCCATGTGAAAATACGTCAAATACTGAAGTAACCGTAGAATGTTTGGATATATGAATTGCAGCAGCAGATCCCATCTCAAAGTTAGAAAAGGCCCTTTCCCGATGTCAGGAGAGCAGAGGTGGCTCTGTTGTACAGTGAACTAGCTCATCCAGTACCTTTTTAAACTTTCCTTGTCGTTTTGCAGAGGCCTGCCCCTGGTGGTCAGAATAACACACAGTAAGGCAAAGGACAACAATAACAGACTCGCTCTTCACTCACAGGCTTCTACAAACCTGTACTCCAACCTGCAGAGTGCACACTTAGAAGCAATGCGTATTCAAAACAACATGTATTTAAAAGGTGCACTATGTAACTTTTTAGTTGGGGGACCGTCACCTTCTTGTTTCTATGGATATGTCACTGCTCTGCCTGGAATGTCCCACAGTATGACATTAAACAGCTATACATTACATTTATTAAATTACATGTGGTTTTACAGCTCAAAAATACTTAGAAACAAGCATTCTGACTGTGAGCGGTATCAAAAAGTAGCAATGGTATCAGTTTCATTACCGTCATTAAAAATCTGCAGCGCATAAGGACCTAATATAATATTATAATTTATTGATATCTAAATTTGTTTGCTCAGTACAAATGAATTTGTGGTTGTATTTTCAATTTAATGCTATCACGATTTGAAACTAATAGTGTCTATAATGTTTCTTTTAATTGCGTGAGGAGATGACATTCGATTATTTTCGTTCCCTTGTCACGTGACAGTTCATAAGGGAGACCAAGACGAAGCTAGTACTTCTGAAATTTGGCAGAATTTTGGCTTCAGGTGCACATTTGTTTACGTTTTACAGAAACTAAACTTAAAACCACATCTCATTGGCATAAACTACAAAACGCTGATAAAAACAGCTCTTTCCTTATGCACTGATGTGGTTCAGCTTCTGTCGAACTAAAGGACACGACTCAGTGGAATATGAGTGTTCTCTCTGTGACAGTGGATGTGCGGCTGATGGTGAGTCTATTTTGTGCGTGTGTCACGTTGGAGATGGTTCATGTGAAAGTTTTCAGAGATTATAAGTCTGCAGGTCATACGCATAGAGTATTTAGCGGTGCGGTTTCGTAGTTTACCAAAGTCATAATAAAACATTTTGGTAATACCGTATATACCGGTAAAATCCTGAGAAGGTTTAATAGTCTCAAAATTTGTATACCGCCCAACCCTGATACCACACTGTGAAACATTCTAGACAAAGCAATAACATCTCCATGGAGAAAAGCATTTGACAGACCCTCCACCAGAAAAGTTACACAATGCACCTTTAAGATCCAGCAATACTCACTTTCAACACAACAAATATCGTGGACACAGAATTGTTAAACAAACGGTAAATCAAATTGTTTAAATTACTTTTTCACTGAGCCAAGACATAATAAGAGCAGATAACAGTGACCAAAAACAAAATGCAATGCTAAATAAATAAGACAAAAAAGTTTCAAGTGTTAGATGGGAAAAAGAGTCAGGAAATCACTGGACTGCCACAGGAGAATGACACAAGACAATAACAAAGATAACTGCCATGCAATACAAAAACAAATGTATAAGCAGTGCAGAGATTAACCATTGTAATAAGTTCTTCATTTTAGCAGTTGAATTCAATGCTATAGGACTATAAAGCTATAGGACTGTAGTGTTAATGAAAATGCCACTCACTGCTTTCTTTCCATATTCACTTTTGGGAACAACCAGAGATCCTGAAAGGTAACAGCCTGGACTTGTTCCTTTGGGGATCCTAGAAGAAACACAAAAAAATCATTTAATCTAAGAAAATTCAGGAGGCTGGGTTCACGTAAAAACTTCACTTTTTAAACTGAGGTGATTCTATGGTACAAATTGCCATTTAGCTGTGAAAATGCAGATATTTTGTTCTGGTTTATGGTCACAGTTAGTATCTCATTACTTGGTCCGGTCACATGAAATAAAACCTGGCAAAATATTCAACATATTCTTCTCTGTCTGCAAAACATTTTTCTTTATTCACAGGACAAAAATCATGGCATGATTGCTGTAAATTATTCAACTGCACACAAGCAACAAGATTATTTTGTGGAATCAGTGAGCAGATCATTTCAAAATTTGAGGGATTTCAGTTTGGATATCAGGAGATCTGACATTAGGAGATCAAATTCTTAAATGCCATGAATGCAACCTTTTATTACTAATAATATTTTTAGTAATTATTTTAGAGTAGGGTTTTAGAAGGGTTGTGCAATTAACCAAAGATTAAATCAAAGTAAAAATCATTTCTGTCACTGATATGCTTGAGTGTATTTAACTGAGAGGTCTAGAGCCAATTCCCTGTCAGAAAAGCAGAGTTCACACTTTGGAGAAAGAAATATTTATCAGTATATTTTTTTGGGTTAAAGTCTGTACTGTTTATGTTAAGTTTATGTTCATGATGCGTATGTAGCTCAGCAGGCCCGTTGACAATTTTGGGGCATGGGGCAAGAATATGGGTGTCCCTATAATATATATATATATATATGTATATATATAGGAAGAGGGTCCAATTCTGGGCCCTTAAATCCCTAGGGCCCAGGACAGCAGAACCCCTATGTACCCCTCTGTCTACTGTTCTTTTGCCCAACCTAATAGCAGTGAATTCATGTCAGTACTTACTTGTCATCAGGCAGAGAAGTGATGTAGAAGGGCTGTGTGGCTCCTGGGCACAGGGTGAGAGAGTTTGCTTTCTTCTTTGCCATGAGTGCCCCCCGGTGGCTTTCATAGATGTCCAAACTGAGTGTGGTGGAGAGGCGATGGGACACGACAAAGGGCAGATCTTTGAGTCGCTCAAGTTCACTGGACTGTTCATGACGGACCTGCAGCCTCACCGTGTAGTCGCCCTTCTCCAGCTTCAGAGAGTACTGATAAATAAGTACAATACAAGTCAGTGACCGCAACAATGGGAGAAAATATAATTATGTTTATTTAAAACCTCAATTTATTCCAAGTTCTTGACCTAGTGTTGTACTGAACACAAGAATTATTACCAAATAAGACTGAAAAATGGCACAATGGTACATTATTTGAACCTAAAATTCTAATTTCCGGTTACCGCATCGGGTTACCCTATCATATAACTTACATGAAATTGTGTTGATGCCAAAAGCACCTGTGAATAACTGAGCAACATCTTAATTTCAGATGTAAGTTAAAAAACTTATAATTAATTAAGAGAGCTATACAGGTTTACATCATTTAAACCAACAGATAATAATACAAGTACAGCTACTTTCAATGTTAAGGATTGTATTAGGAGTTTGAGAAATTGTTCAGTTTCTCTCCCTTTGAGTAAATGAGGTTGGGTTTTACTGTTTTAATAGTATTGTATTTGATTGTACCTGGTGTGGGTATGCATCACCGGAGCCCAGCAATCTCTTGTTCTGATCGAAGAGCATCCACAGCTGACTGTCAAACTCAGACTCGTACAACAGCTCACACAAGGTAGGGCAGCTCGGGGTCACCTCACCACTTTTGGGCTAAAGACAGAGACATGTTAAGAAATGTATGATTCACTAACTAATAACACTAATTTAAAAGAAGTTTGATATGACTTTAAAACAAAGTACCTGGTGAAAATTATAGTTAAGAACTATCTCATAGAGTTGTCTGTTGTTTGGAAGAACATCCCTCTCTCCTAAGGCCTTGATCTTTGAAGTCACGGGCCTAGAAGAAAGTCAAATGTATTAAAACACTGTGACCAACAGATATGTTGTAATGTACAAGTTATAATATGAAAAAACCTGAGAGGCTGCACCCATGATTTAAGGGTGATAGTTGGAGCCACCTCTTCATACCGCAGAGGAGAGAAAACCTCAAAACTTGTCACCCCCTCAGAGGCATGCTGTGTACAGATACATTATTTAGTTGATGACACTTTTAAGGAGATATACTTTATTTTGCCTCTTTCTTACTAAGTGCAAAGGTGAAGGTGATGTGCTGAGACCATGAAATGAGATGTTGTAGTCCACAGTCACGTCTCCAAGGCTCGCCCACCAGCGCGCGATACACAACTCCACTATTTTACCTGACTAGAACAGAAGATACAGAGATGTTTGCTTTGTGTACGTTTACTATAACATTTTAACATTTGTCTTAATGTCAAGTATGATTGGGGCATACCAGCACTGGAAAAGCTTCAGTTAATGAACCTTTTTCTAATAGAGAGGAAAACTTGTAAAATTCATTGGCTCTGTATGCCCTCTGCTTGACTAGATGCACTGCATGGAGAACAAACTTTGAAGATACGTCTCCTGAATGAGAGGTCAGCGTGATCTCTGCAAGAAAAATAGAACCATAAAACTATTAATTCTCAAGACAAATGTTAAGTAATAAATCTGTTCTGGCTGAAGAGAAAATGAACTACACTAGAATATATGGAGCAAGAAAAACAAATGATCCATGTCCAAATTTGCTCTACCCTGTTCTCGGTCATCATTGGCAAAGAAAGCCTTGATTTATTTTTTATTCACAGCAGATGTCATTGACCATAAACTTTTTTACTAAGTTAAAATCTATAAACCTTCTACAGCTCAAATCTTTTTGTATCACAACAAAAATACTCCAAATCACCAAATTTTTGTATAAAAAATGATAAGCCCCAAAATCTGTTGCTCCAGCTATTATATATTGATAAGTCAATATAGTAATTATTGTGACAGGCCAGGGCATTACTATCTTATATAGCTTTTCTGAACACATTTGTCTCATAAAAAACATACTGACCTGCCCAGGAGGCTCCCTGAGGTACAGTGATAAAATGGCGTCTGATTTGGCCTGGTCTGAAATGGACGTCTGTGAAACACACCTCCTGATTACGACTCTCTGGCACCCTGGAAACAAAGGCATATAGTCAAGACCTAGTCTTATAAAAAAAAAAAATTAGATTATTATACTGATTATATAAGAAATCTTACTTAGTTGGGATAACGACTGTAATAGGGACTCTAAACAGGGGACCACAGGTGGGTGCTGCAGTGTCATAGCCACAGACCTAAAGAGAAACAAAAATTGAATTTTCATGGACAAACACTAGAGATGACAGGTCATTTCTAGAAAGCTCTTTTACCTCTGTGTAGTGCACTCCTTCTCTCAGCCCCACTGGGTCTATGCGGACATTTACATGGCGACACTGATTCATTAACTCTAAATGGGAAGGACACTGCACCCAGGGGGCAGTGCATGTGAGGGCCAAGTGCAACTGAAGGGAGATGCGCTCTGAATTGTCTGAACACAGCAAAAACAATAGTTTAAGAAATTAAAAATGTAAAAGACAACTTTGGATTAGTCTGAGTATGTACCTGTGTTTTCTGGGAAGATGGGTTCAATTCCTACTCCATGATCAGAAGGAACAAGAACTTGGGACGGATCCCTGAGGTAGATGCCTCTCTGTGAGCCCACAGACACCGTAAAGCCCAGGTGGCTTGTGGGTAATGAGGCATGTTGAGTGAGGTAGTCTAACGCTCTGTCCACCTATGGACAAAATGAATATGACACCAAATTTAATCATGTTTTAAAGGTCCTATATAAAGCAAAATTGACTGTTACGAGCTTTGAGCATTTTTATGTTGTTGTTATCTCCTCAAAAAGATAAAAATATATATATGTATAGCAAAATTACCTGGATAATCCCATGACCTTGTGCAAACATCTCAATGTCATCCACTTTAATGGCTGTGTTCTCGAGCGCTCTCCTCACAGCTGGTGCCGAGGGAAGAATTCTGTTCTGCTTCAGACCTAAATCACAAATTAACTTCACTCACTGATTACCATATACAGAATGAAGTACATACAAGAACATAAGGATACAAATGCTCGTCCACTAGAGGCGAGATGGATAAAGTGTCTTGTCCAAGGACACAACAACAGTATTCATCTGTGGGAGTTGGAATTGCACCGCCAACCTGTGGTTCAGTGGATCTGACCACTCTACCAATGATGTTTATATTAAAAGTCGATCTGAACTGCCAACCTTTGGATCAGTGACAAACACTCTACCAAATGAGCTACTGTCATGGAAGTTATTCAAGTTATTCAACAGTCTCCAGCTCACATCTTATTTTAGTACAGAAAAATAACAAAATGTTCCCCAATAGTCCTAATAAAAAGTAACCACAACAAATACTGACTCCACTATTACACACTATTGAACAAACCAATACCTACTCACCTGAGAGGACGAGTGCAATGCCTCCACACGCATTTGGGGATGACATAGATGTGCCATTCATCAGTTGGGTTCCCCGAAGAGTCCAGTTTGGCACTGATGCAATCGCACCACCGGGAGCGCTGATGCTGACCCCGAGTGCCCCATCTGTGCAGGGGCCTCTGGAGGACCACGTGTACTGGTTTGGAGGCAGCTTTTCCCTCAGAGAATACTCAGCCACCATCATGTCGGGGGTCACATAGGCACCAACACCTGGGCAAAAAGGAGTACATTAATAACTTATCTAAAATGGGCAGGGAGATTAAATATTTGAATAGCTTACCAATAACACTACTTGTAGTTCCTCCTGGGCAGCCAACCGTTGAAAGACAAGGGCCATTATTTCCAGCACTTGAAACAAAAATTACATTGTGCTTTTGTACAGCCTCTGTGATCACCTCGCATATCCTCCTGCAAGAAAACGAAGAAAATATCATAATGAGAATTGAAAGTACGTAAAAGTCTTTTAAAGTAAGTCCTTTAGTACTGACCCTGAATTAGGCCAGTGGGTGGCTTCTCCGTAGCTATAGTTGACTAGATCACATTTATAATTGATTACTTCAATCATCTACAAGAGAGTAGAAAAAATTACAATAAATATACATCCCCCACTATAAGACTAAGCCTATGGTCTCGGGTCTAAACTTAAAGCTTCTTACCGCACGGATGAGTCCTGTGCCTGTTTCCATTGTGCTAAGGCGAGTGTCACCAATCTTTATGGCGAGAATCTGAGCACCGGGCGCCACACCATTGCGTTCAGGTTCATCTGGAAAGTAGCCCGCTGCAATACTTGCTACATGTGTTCCATGGGCCCCTTTGACAGAAAATTCAATATATGTTACATTTAATCTCCTGAATCGTTTTTGTTTTCTCCATGGATAGATTTCTTTCAGTTAATTTCTTTGAGGCTCTCACCTCCACTTGTGACGATGCAGAGTGTGTTTCCCTCATCATAAATATTTACAGAGTAGTTGAGCATCTCAGCATTGCCTAATGTTGCATAGTCCTGGTTCTCTTTGTAGGACGTCAGCACTGTGCACTGGGACAGATCTCCACACTCTGAGGTGTCAACTACAGCCCTACACACAACAGAAAACACAACACTTGAATGTGTGCCCAATAATGATCAACAATAGCATTTAATACCACTGCCTCACCTCCATGTTGTGCCATCATGCCAAAGCACACAGTCATAGACTGGACCTGGATCACTGTACTTCTTTTCTAATGTTGCTAACAGCTCTGACTGACTCTGTAATTCCTCCTTCTGCAGCTTCTCCATCTGTAAAAACAAACATGAGAAATAAATACTTGATGTGATCGCTGTGTGGATGGGTGTGTAAGAGTTCAGCCACTAAACAAACTTGGGTATCTGACCTGAGAGGGTGAGGGATGTGAGAGGTCAAATTCTTCAGTCTTACGAGAGACTTCTGCGAGTGCTGCCCTGTGTGCTGGATCCCACTGTTTCTCCTTCCGCTCTTTCTACAAAAACAAATAAATAGCTATTTTATACATTAGAATTATAAATAAAAGCTAACACTGTCACATATTGAATAAAAACAGCTAATAAGGGAGCCAGCTTACATTTAAATTAAGCTGCCCGTTGTGAATCCACCCTAATTAATTTAAGTAATAATAGTCTACTGTACCTGTATCCTTTCTTTGAGTGCCTTAGGGAAGAACTCGTAGCCATTTTTAACTCCAATGTGGTATTTCCCTGTTGGATTGACCCAGGCAGGTGGAATCTACAAGACATAAAGACAGATGTTGGAGATATACAAAATAATAGGTCTCTCTGGCAGTTGGCTATTAATTATAGATTTTCCTCTGTAGTTTAAATTTATCGTGTTCCTTGTACCTTGAGTGTTCTTCCAGAGAGGCTGGTGATTGTCCCTTCTTTAGGCTCTGCCACTGTGCTCATGTTTACATCACCGCTGCCCGTCGTGTCAATGATATCAATGATCTTTGGCTTTCCCTCGGTGGTGACCTGGAAAGTGTCAAGCAGTAGAGGTATAATTTAACAGACTGAAAATCTGAGCTTGCATGTAACTAGTACCCATCAGCTCAAAGCCTAACAGCTGCTAGTATTTCATTCAAGAGTCTCATATTCAATCTCTGCATCTCTGAACATTCACCATGTCAGACTATGTACAAACAGATTACCATTTAAAAATGGTTAACATGATTTATTCCAATATTATTTCTATCTTACATATGACAGGCTGCATGAACATATTTAAACGATGAGTAACCTTAATTACAGTGTACGTAATATGCTTCAGTAATACATTAGAACAAATGCAACAGCGTTAACACATCTTAAAAATAAGCAATGCATTTAAATACAACATCCCAACACAACAAAGCTAATTTGCTTAGCTTGCACCTTATAAAATGTAAAACTAGACTAGTGAGCATCATTCATTGTAATGGGAGGATCAAAATCGTTTTTTTCAGTGTAAAGCAGGCGTTGTCATATTAATATAAAATGTTAAATATGTGGTTCAATGTACTTAAATTAAACAGCATGCTAACATGGCTAGGGCTAAACGAGTTACCCTTTAGTGACAGGGCACAAATAACATGAATGAGTCAGGCCTTTAGCTTAGCATGCTAACTAGCCATTAGCTAAGTAGCGGTAGTGAGCCGGGTAGATTTACCTGCATACCGGGGGCCCCGGGGTCAACACCGGTGTCAAGGATAGCAATGAGCACCCCCCTGCCATCGTGCTCCGGGAACCGGGTAAGAAAAGACGCGGCGCCGGTCTCTTTTTTGGGGAGCAGCCCGTGGAAAGGGAAGGGTTCTTCAGCAGAATGAGCAGCCATGATCAAAAGAGCTTCAATGAAAACAAAGCGACGAAATGGGGAAGAACAGCGAGACACCGGGAGGACAGTTAAAGGAACAGTGTCCGTGGACACGCTATAGACAGTGTAATATGTGGCTTCTGAAGTACCATTTTTATTTAACCTTTACCTCTCTCTACTGTTAATATATCATTACACCGTCTATTTTAGTTATTCTTGATGACAGTAGAACAGGATACTTGTATTTTTGTTGGCTAAAAATAGAGATGTAACCTACTACTGTAGCAGCAGTATAAGAGGAAAAGTGCCCTCATATATCCTCTGTTTTACAGCTAGACAAAATGCAGTCACATCTTATTCATAAAGTCTGGTTCAGAATCATCAGAACGTCTCAATAATTCCCCTAAATCTCCACTGGGCGGCGCTGTAATACAGCTACTGAAATGTCCCCAATCTCCATTCAGAAATAACTTACCTTGAACTATAAGTTTAGTGTATTAGTGTCTTGTTGTTACTGTATTTGCATTACTTTACACGCATAGGAAGTAGGCTATTGTAGGGTTTCACTTCTTAAGGTTTTCTGAACCAGCCTTAAGTCTACACACTCTTTATTCAAAACATTTTTATTTGTCTCTGTTATATCTTAAGATGAACTGCTCAATCACTGTCTGTCTAATCTTCCTTTGCCGTTCATAAATAATTATTCCATTAACTATCCTTGTAGGCGATGCGTGTCTTTGAATGTCATTTGACATTTTGCTGAGTGTTACTTTACACTGTTAAACAGTCATGTTTGTGGTTTACCACAGGGCGTAGCCCCCAATGCTGAACCGAAATAAATGCCATAAACTTTTTGAAATCGTTTTTTCCCCACATGTCTGCTTCAGATTCTGCATACAGTAAACTATACAATTTACTGAAGCTGATTTCTTAAGAGCATGAAATAATAGGCCTATAGCATCTATTAGATGTTGTCCACAGTGCTAATTGTACATGATGCCACAGGACGTGCCACCAAAGGACACATTATCTCCTGTGTACTAGGCTACATAATTACACAGCTGTTTTGTTCTCTGAAAATGTATTGTAGACTAAGGACACACACTGTGAGTGTCCTGATAGTTCTGTGTTCTCATGAGGAGGCTGACACAGCCTGATTAGATTAGAGCTAAAGCAGTGACAGGTAATCCCCACACCTTGACCGACAAAAGCACTCGAACTGTTACGATCATCTCACATGTTTCCCACAGAGCTCTTCTCCCTGAGCCTCAAAGTGTGGTTCTCTCAAGGCTGTGGCCCTATCAGGATTTGACTGTTTTCCAACACTATGCTGCTTTACTCAGGTCTAATATTATGTTTTGACATTTACATATTGATCTGGTATAGGCCAGTGTAGGCTAACAATTGGCTAATTTTTGTAAGTACTTTATGCAGATTTTTCAGGGTTTAACGCCCAAATAAAATTCTTCTTCTAACTATTGAAGGCCTACTACTAACTTTTATTCCTGTAATTCCTATTTATATCTCTAGAGAAACAGTCGATGACTGGCTGTTCAAACAAGAAAAAGACCATATGGCATTGCACACACATTGCTTTAGTGTTACTTATTAGGGTAACTAAAAATAAACAAATCAAGACTTTTCCCTCGTTGCACCCACTTCCGGTCACCCTGAGCCCTGACCACACCACATGGGAGCGTCATGCAAACCATCGGACACGTGTGGGCGGGGCGTAGCGCAGAGCCACACCCCCTGTCCCTGCTGCTGCTGCTGCTGCGGGACCAAGCAGCTCGTTCTTCGGGCAGGGAGCAGGGATCAGCCCGGAGAAAGCAGCGGCGCTATTCGGCTACTGCCTAGATGTGCACAACCTCTGGAATAACCGCGCGCTGGAGCACCCACAACAGACCACCGTGGAGGAGCGGGACTGCGCGTATCTGAAAAGGGACCGAGCCAGGGCGCAAGCATGGCAGTGGAAGAGGAAGGACTTCGGGTGTTTCAGAGCGTTAAAATAAAAATAGGTAAGAGGAAAAATTCCCACCTCCCCCAGTCTGAGCGCCTCAATGTATCGCCACACATTAACGGGCCAAGACAGGCGAGCAGCTCCCAGAACCGAGTCTGGAGGAGCGGGCAGATTCCTGGTGTTTAGTGCTGCTGGTTTTGTCATTCAAATCACACGCGCTGCTCCTTTCACTGAATATTCTGAGATGTAAATGAAAATAAAGAAATTGTGACTGCCCCAAAACAGCTTTATGGGGAAAATGTGCTATCTTGGTATAAATAAGGGTCCAAGTCATACGCATATTGCATTGACTATTATAGATATAGTTATTAGAAAAGATTACAAGAATAGGCATTTCAGCTACAAATCCTTTTATATATACATATATATATATATATGTATTTGTAATTGCACTGTTAATTACTGCTTTACAAATGATTGCCTACCCCTCCTCCCACGTCCAAAAAGCTGTACCCCAACGATGGACTGTCTAGATGTAGTCTGGGTTTGCCTGATTTGAATATGTTAACATTGTCACCAGTGGTTTAACCTGGTTTGTGTCCTGTTGTGTTTTGAGACCAGTGAGTAACGCCATGAAGAGGCCTTTTGGGGCCATTGTGGAAAGGGAGAGTATTTATGCAGATCTGTCTGTACTAGAGCCCATTGATCTTGACTCACATGTAGTTAGCCTCATGCATTTTAATATGCACCTCCAACTGTATCTCATGAATAGTAAATTTTAATTAAAAAGAAACATGTAGCCTAATAGACAGCAGACGTCTACTCTGATAGACAATGTTTTATTATGGTATTATTTTAGATTTATAATAGCCTGCCCTATCACCTTTTCTTACCAATTCCTAAATCTTCTCATTGCCTGTAGTATTTTCAGATGCAACCCTGTCTTTAACCATGGGCTTTGGACAGTACAAAGAGTGCACTGACTTACTTTTTACTAGATTACAACTATAGTATAATTTAATATCTGATATAATAAACAATTGTATGTAATTTTCATATGTCTTGAATTACATTGTAGTTGGACATCTCTTAATATGTTTTATGTTTTTGATTGCTACATTGTTTGCTACACAATTTTACAAGGAGGACAACATTTGTAAAATCAACCATGCATTAAAGTTTTCATCTCCAGGCAGTTTCTTTTAACAGCTTATGATTTTTTTTACTATAAATAGCACATTTAGATCTGCAAAGGAAACAATATTGTATTAAAATATACAATATATGTATTATTTATTGTCAAATGTAAGACTTGTTTATTATTGAGTTGGATGTTTTTATTGACATCTGGCCGTCCGTTTATCTTGTCTGCATTGTTTTGAGTCCAAACATGCAACAGAAGGGATGAGCGCCGGAGGAAGAGAAAATGACAACAAACACACTAGTAGCGGGCTATGGGGAGCGTGTGGTGCTGCCAAGACTCTGTAAATCTCTGTTGCTGTTAAACTAATACAATACATAAAATAATAATGGAGATTTGGCTACTGTACTTGTTTCTGGGAAATTGCTTGTGACGAAGAGAAGTGAGAGTGTATAGCAGAGCGTTGCGTTTGATATTCAGAGGAGGATTATAATATTAAAACCCCATAGGACTTGTTAGTTTCCGTGCACTTTCTGAATGACGCTAACACAGTTTTGTGAATGGAGACAGAAGGACCTCGCATTCAGAATTGTAAGTGCTAGATTCAAGGCTGCAGTTGAGTCATCCGTGAAAAATATAACGAGAAAAAAGGCAGGAAGGCAGGCTTTCAGTCACATTATTTTGAGTTCATCTAAAGGGCATCGCACAGCATTGTTGATATATTCAAACCCATATGTAGTATACTGAACATGAATATTAAACATTGTGAAGAGAAATAATTATGGTGGACTATTTTTAAACTTAGGGGTGGAGTACCACACCACCTATAGCTAATGAGAGTTCATTGTGATAAACCAGCTCAGCCCAGTCACTCACTCAAAACATGCCAGATGTTGACCAGTAGGAGCTGGTAGATTAAAGTGTGGACAAAGGGAGTATGACGTGACCTGTCAGTCAGATGAAGTTCACAGAGCTAGTGGTTATAGGGACAAATTTAGAGCCGAGTTCCACAGAATTTCTTAACGGACAAAATAGCAAAAAAAAACAAAAAAAAAACATGATCATGTAGAGTGAGCTAAAACAAACATTTTAAGACTAAAATGACAAGGCTTTCTGCAGCAGTTACAGAGGTGGTGATAATTTTTCAATGTAAAGTCAAATGGAGCCAGAGTAGATGGAGCCAGAAGTGTGCCATGCTCACTTCCTATTTGGAACGAGGCAGCTAGTGGGTTAGCTATGTCCATTTATATAAGTCTATGGTTTGAACAGGACAGCATCGAACAGAAATACTCTTAAACACAATATAACGATAACACCAAAATTGCTTCTCGCTACAGAGACAGTTTTATCACCTAGGCTTAATTTTTACCCATTGGATTATTATAATGTTCAAAGACTTGTCCTTAAACATTAACTATTAATTGAGTTAATATTAAACACATCCATTACTTGATCATATTGATTATTCAAAATATTTTCCTCCTTGCAGTTCTATTTAAAGGGCCCTTATTTTCTTGATCCATGTTATAATGTTGTTTCCTTATCAAAAACATACCTGGAGCTATGTTTTGTTTCATTCACACCTATTTAACACACAAATCCTGTATAGTTAGGCTGAGTTTTTGTGATGCCATGAGGTTGTACAGGAAGTGCACCGCTGTGTTTTTAAACTTCTTCATTAGAATCATTAGTATAATTTCAATCCTGGAATTTCCAGTCTCTACTGAAGAAAAGGTAAAAGGGAGCTGATAATACGAAAACTACTGCTACATAACATCACAAGATGGAACAGAACATTTTGAGCTTTGGAGGTGTAGACAGTCTAATAATGCAGGATTACTCATGTGTGAATGAAACAAAACAACTCCAGGTATGTCTTTGATGAGGTAACAGCATGAATGAGTGAACATGCCTTGAAGTTGAAGAGTTGATTTTGCGTAATATAGGACCTTTAATCTATATAAGCCCAAAATATCCCTGACTACAATAGGGAAGCAATTAACAGGGTCTTATAGTCAAGCTCGGCACATCCACTCAGATCATCTCAACCGCTTGTCTCTACATATCCGTATCATTTCTCGGACTAGATTTGACCATCATTATTCACAACAGCGTCATGAAAAAGGTGTATTTAGTTTCCTAGCAGCGGCTGTTCAAACACATTAGTCTGATTCCCGTGGCGCTCTGCTGTGTTGTGTCTGTGTAACCCTTGCATCACATTGTTTTCATCAAAGTCAGCAGCGGAGCTTGTCCTTTGGCATGGGGCCGTGGCTTCGTGATGACTCACAGTGGAGAATCTGCCATAGCTTTAGAGAGAGAGGAAGAGAGGGAGAGCGAGGGAGAGAGAGAGGGAGAGAGTGAGAGAGATGGGGCAAGAGAAAGGGAGAGAGAGAGGAGAAAAGGAGAGAGAGCATGCATTGTTGTTAGCCTGTTCTGACTGCTTTTGGCTTCCTGGCTGAACATGCATACAGATTCCCATAGTTTTAGACACAGAAAGGAGAGTGGAAGAGGGAGTTTAGAGAGAGCACTGGACAGAATAGACCAACTAGAAAGAGAGAGAGGGATAGAGAGAGAGGGATAGATAGAGAGGAAGAGACGAGAAAAGGATAGAGAGCATGCATTGTTGTTACCATACTATGACTGCTTTTGGCTTTCGGACTGAACATGCATACAGATTTCATCATTTTAGGTACAGAAAGAAGAGCAGAAAAGGGACTGAGAGAGGTATAGACAGAATAGACAAACTAGACAGAGAGAGAGATAGAGAGAGAGCATGCATCGTTGTTACCATGCCATGATTTCCTGGCTGAACATACATACAGATTCCCATAGTTTTTAGACACAGAAAGGAGAGTGAAAGAGGGAGAGAGGAATAGACAGAACAGACCAACTACAAAGAGAGAGCGGGATAGATCTAGAGGAAGAGCAGGAGAGACAGAGAGAGAAATAGAAGGAATAGACAAACTAGCCAAAAACAGAGATAGAGAGACAGCATGCATCATTGTTAACATGCCATGACTTCTTGGCTGAACATGGATACACATTGCCATATTTTTTAGGAATAGAAAAAAAAGAAAGAGTCAGATAGAGAGAAAAGGAGAAAAGGGGAGAGAGCATGCATTGCCATGCCATGACTGCTTTTGGCTTCCTGGGCCCTAGCTGAAGATGCACACAAATTGCCATAGTTTCTAAGATCGAAAGGAGAGAGAGAGGGCATGCTACCATGTTATTACTGTTTTGGCTTCCTTGCCAAAAATGCACACTAATTGCCATAGTTTTATAGATAGAAAGGAGAGAAAGAGGAGAGCGAAAGAGGAGAGAGAGGAGAGAGAGTGTGCAAGAGAGATGCCATGACTTTCTGGCAGAACATGCATTCAGATTGCCATAGTTTTAAAGATAGAAAAGAGGGAAACAGAGGAGGGGGAGAGTTAGAAGGAGAGAGAGAGTGTGACAGAGAGAGACCATGCAATGCTATGACTGTCTTTGACTTCCTGGCTGTACATGCATGAATTTCGGAAACTCAACAAGCGCTACTGGGATTCTGCACTGTCTGGGACCCGTACAGGAAACAGGAAGCTACCCCCGATCCCCTTCCTGATTGGCTGGAACAGACTACAAAAGAAAAATTGTGTTTGTTCCTGCATGGCAACAAGCTAATACAAACCAGATGCACAGGGAGTTTGAGATGCAGTGAGGGACAGAGTAGCAGGCTGGAGGTCGTCTCTCAGTAAAGACGTCAGGGTTTGGGAGAGGGGGATTTTGCAGTGGCACAGCTGGACCAGGGACACTGCTCTAATTAACAACAACACATGTGCCACAGGGATCTCTCTTATTGCCCCAAACGTGGACCTATAAAAGTTTAATTACACAGATGTGACCCAAAGTGAGAAAATAAGGTCAGGATGAGGCATGGGAAA